TAATAAAACAGTTGCCAAAAATTTATCGTCTCCCTAATAGCTTCACAAATTGTCAAGCAGCCCTGAACTGTATACAACTGTTGCAAGCTTATCTCTTTAGAAAAAGCAAGCTAACGCTTTTGAAACCAGGACGAGCCTGCTATACCCGCCCTTGATACATAGCGTTCCTTAAAAGGGCAAAGAAATTATATCTTCAAAATCAAATTCCGAAGACGGCACGAAATAGTGGAAACATCACAGTACTTTTCGTCCGATTCATTCAAATCAAATTTATCAATTATGTCAAAATTAAATTCATTTAAAGAATTCTGTCTCTTAGAAGAAAGACATTAAAATGATCATTTAATATCTTGATGCATTTTGTGTCGATGCAGATGCATTTTGGATATACTGCAAAATCTACTTTGCAGATTCACTCAAGGCACAAATTTAACGCATGTAAAACATGTAAAAATTTGGGTTGTGTGAAATTTTTGAGCTTTTTTTATTATTTTTACCATTCTTCGTATTAGTTCATGTTATTGGAATTAGCTCCTTATGAATAGCATAGATCATCTGGAGAAAAGTAGTTATGAAAATATTGAACTTCATGCTAAATGAGAATTTCTACAAGTTTATTTTTCATATTTCTGCTTGAAGCAACGTGTTCTTCCTTTCTATGTAAAAATTGGCTAAAAGATTTTCCATTAACTTAACTACAAGGACTTTTAAGAGACATACACGGGCGGTATCTGTTCCTTGGCCAAAATGAAGGGAAAATCTTAAAATTTTCTGGCGGTGCAAAAATCAAAATGGCTTTAAAGAAGCAAACATCAAGCCAGATGTTTCGCAAAAAATTCCCTTCTAGCTTGAATTCATTATCTAAGAGGAAATTCATTTAGGGGAAGGTATAAATCCGTAAAAGCAAACATAATATAGAAATTAATGAGCTCCAAGAATAACGAAAAATCTTTAAAAAGTGACTAAGCTACGGCAAAGGAAAAACAGACTTGATACACAAAAATTTTAAAGTAACGTTTTATGATCACACTCTATTAATATTTACAACCAACTGCAATAAAGTAATACTTCTGATACATGCGCCTAACTGGCGTACAAAAACCGTAGTTTGGTAGATTGATTATGCCAATCCCATATTTTACATACCAACCAAATTTGTTAATCTAATGTCTTTAAGTGAAACTTAGGTACAAGGACCGAGACGCGGGGGGGGGGGGGGGGGGGGTGGCCTTGAACCCCCATAAAAACCTTAATACCATAAAATAAAATACTTGTATTTTGTAAAAAATATGGCTTTTGTGTTACAATTATTTAATCAGCCCCCCCCCCCCCCTCTAACAAAAAGTTGTATCTCGGTCTTTGCTTAGGTAGACATAAAAACAAAGGTATACGAAAAGTCTAGATTAAAAATAAAAAACACTCTTACTAAGTACAAATGCAAGAATTTGAGAGGAAGATGCTAGAATCTGATAGTGAGAAGGTATGCAGGTCGAGCAGAATTAAAGATATCGAGCAACAAGAGAACATTGCTTGTCAATGTTAAAAAATGAGCTTTGAACTTTAAAAAATGAAATAAAACAGGCTTTTAGCACAGCGGGTGCTCTCTCTCCTGGACTTGTCTATATATTGACGGAGCTCCTCCTTCAGAAAATCCTTACTTACCAATACCTTTAAAGTTAGTTAGTCTACAATTATATTGTTGTTCTTGATTGGTGATCAAACTAAGTTAAACTGAAAACCATTGTTATTTTGATATGCAGTCATTTAAGAAATATTTAGTAACTTAAGATGAAAATGGAGATTCAAATTTATGAAAGCATTCCGTGTTCGTTTTGCGTTATTGCGGATCTATAAAGAAGCGGCCTAGTTTGGTTTTCAACAAAAATTATATTAAATGGATCTTTAATATATTATCTTCTATTCAAGACAAATATAGAGTCGTATCAATAATCACGATGACCCGAGATCTGCCGATCCCATCAATGATGTCGAAGGTGATTCAAGAGTCCCATAGTTATTTGTTATTGACAGCCAGTTGCGAGACTCACGTGTCACTGCATCCCTGAAGGTCTTTCGACTCCATCCATAAACGAGACTGTTGAGAAATCCTTGCAGTGGTGCCGACAGGGTCTTAGGATAATGAAAAAAGGCCTATAAGTACTCCAATAGGTTGAGAAAGTGCTTGCTAAACGAAGGTTTGCAACTGGGAACAATTACGGGAAGAATGAGGTCAAATTTGGATATAGCCTACAGAATTTACGTTTAGGAAGAAGCAGGCATGAAAATTAGTTATTCTCTTGAAATCTTCACGAATTCTAACAGTCTAGCGATAGGCGACATAAACAAAGTCCATTTAAATCAGAAGCCAGTAAAGGGAAATGGACAGAAAGCCTCGTTTCTAATAAGAAGGTTGTTTAAATTCAAAAAGAGGATTCTAAATTGATATAAAACCACATACACAAACATTGATTTTCCTAGAAATTGGAGCTGACTTGAAAGATTTTAAAAATTTAAAAAAACAGTAGAGACTTCGTGGACTTTGATTGGTATTCTATTTGTTAACAACTTCTGTGATTTGTTACCTCGTCAGATTCATTTGCTGCTAGAATCATTTCGAAATATCAGATCTTTAAGCAAACATTAGTTTGCACATTGCTATATCCATACTGAAACCTTAATAGCAGAAAACAGCCACATCGAATTTCACTTTAGTTCTAGGCAAAGTTAACAATTAACAATTAAACATACTTGGATCACATAGAGACTGAAGTACTCGATGACCATTCGTTCGTCTCTCTTAAGCAGTCTGAGAGATGCTAGAATAAGTGCTGCAAAGAGAAATTGAAGCTGTAACGACTCCGTTATCGAAGGAGAGTTACATTGCTAGTTTTAATTTGCAACTAAAGAACGTAAGCGTTGTATATTAGGAAATCTACAAGTAGCTCAACGTGAATGCATCAATCTAAAACCTCTTTATCAATAAGATACTGTGAAATATATTTGTGTAGTACATATAATATTACTCTTATAAAAATCCATTATTCTACCACTGGTGATTTTACCTATCAACTAGAAATAATAAAAGTCAGCAATCAGGAGAGTGATTGCCTTTAGCATAGTTAGCACTGCTCTATAGATATTTCTAAATCAATGATTCATGCTCGTTTATATATCGGGCTTTCATGAATAGAGTAGTTGCCTAGTACCTGCATTAAGAGTGAAAATCGGAGTTGCAACCTAGAACAGTTTTGCATTATACACCAAAGAATACTATAGATATTTGTGGTGTTTTTTGTGTAGCTTACAGTTTCTTCGCTGGTCAATCCCATTTTGACGGGTCGCTGGTGCTTTCAAAGCTGCAACCAATGAATTGTGAACGACGGGCGAAATTTAGCAGAAATACTCACCTGGAGTCCAGCAATAAATGAAAACGAGGACGTAAGCAGTAGCACGATGTGTCATCGCTTTTATAACAACTCGCTGTCTGTTTGTGTGGAAACCTTGGAAGGAGGAAAACCCCATTTTAATTAGCAAATCATCTTCATTTAACAAGAATATCAAAAATACTACATCATTCCAAGCATTTTGATTGCATTATAAAGCACTAACAGTAAAAAGATAAATAGGAAGCGAATCAAAGAATCCACTCTTTGTTTTCATACTTACAAAGTAGCGTCTTTCGATACATCCTTAAAGTCGAGACGTACAAAACCTAGAAAGATGCATCTTAAAAACTCATCCAAAAAACTACCTCACATAATTCAAAACATGTCGCATTGAATACTATAGTCAAAATAATATGAAATTTGGTAGAAAATTGTTTCATTTATATAACATAACTTGCCTGTCCCTAGATTGGCAAAAATGAAAAAATCACAGGGTCTTTGGAAGTTTAACTTCAACGCATTTAAGCAACGACTGGATTTTTAAGGGTTAATTTTCGAGTTTCTAAAATACAGGAATATACAAAAAATCACACAGAACAGCGATCCAATATTTTGACAACTCTTTTTCGGTGATAATCTTTCGACAGCAAAAATACAGCTCAAACGCTTCATGAAACCATGAAGCATTTATTTTTAGCAACGTTTATAATGAAAGACCAATATTTTTAGTGAAAACCATATACTTAAACCCAAATCCTGAAAATATACCTCTGTTACAGAAAAACCCCTTTTTTCTGTACTTCCCAGAATTTATTCTTTAAGCAACATCTGCCCCCGGTAGGGGGGACAGCATTATCATTTACAATCTACAAAAGTATTTGTTAAAAAGACTAAGAAGCGTGATATGAATGCTACATCGCCTTTGTGCACCTTTGTTCATATACATTACCATTTTATACGCACGCAGAAATGTTGGAACAAAGAGTTAAGCTCTGCAGTAAAATCTTCAATTATTTGACAGAGTTATTGAAGCAATAATTTTTACAAAGAAAATTGGTTTTCGACTTTCAAAATGGAGGAATACAGGAAGTATCTTCAAGTTTGGCAAATTAAAATATCAACTAAACTTACGATAATAGAAAAAACAGCAAAAGTCAGGGTTGCTATCATTAGGACATAGCCATTGTATTTACCAAGTTTATCATCAGCCTAAAATTAAAAAATTTGATTTCAATTCATTCCATTCAGGCCTAAACCTCCATTACTACAAACAACAAAAACTATACGCATTATATACTAAAACCTCGAGAAGGGCACATAATTTTGCCCAAAAACTATTACCCGTAGGTAAAGTTTGGTATCACTTAACTACACACAGCAACCCCTCCCTCCCCTACTCCCAGGCAGTACTTCTGGCTCCATAGGTGAACCTTAATTTTAGTATTAGTGGAAATTTTGAAAGAAAACCACGATACAAACAAATCAACAACAGAGATCGAGTTAAATTTTTTGAGTGTAATATGCACCGGACCAATTACCCTGGGTGCCAGAGCCTCAGAGAGTCAATCCTTTCCCCGTTCTTCATAATTTGACTCTCTGAGGCTCTGGCACCCAGGGTACAGACCAATGTGCACAAGGAATAAAATGCAAAACAATGCTAGTAAAGAAAATAAATTTCATAAAGAGAGGGGGGGGGGGGGGGAAAAAGC